GCTCTCGGACTTCAGTGGAACGTTGAAGAAGACGCATTTGAATTCAAAGTGATCGACGTAGATAAGCCAGAGACGAAGAGAGGAATCTTGTCGACCGTCGCTTCATTGTATGATCCGATGGGATTCGCCGCGCCAGTAACATTATTAGCTAAGTCACTACTACAGAAACTTTGGCAAAAGAAAGTTGATTGGGACGAGCAACTTGCTGAAGCCGAATTAGGAGACTGGAGACGGTGGAAGAATGATCTTTCAGCCCTTTCGAAAATCAAGATTCCACGTTGTTACAAGACCACCGTAGCTGCTACCAACAAGGTTAATGATTGTGATACGACAAAGTGCGTCAAGGAAGTCCAACTTCACAACTTTTCTGACGCCAGTGAAATTGGATACGGATCTGCATCGTATCTTCGAACTGAGTTTATCGATGGAAGAGTAACGTGTTCACTTGTATTTGGTAAATCTCGCACCGCACCATTGCGAAAGATATCCATACCACGCCTAGAATTACAAGCAGCGGTATTATCGGTTCGAATCAGCGAGATAATACAGCGTGAAATTGAAATAACATTCAGCAAGATTTGCTACTGGACCGATTCAGAAGTTGTGCTGAAGTACATTCAGAATGAAGATAAAAAATTTACCGCATATGTTGGTAATCGTATAGCCGAAATCAGAGAAAAATCCGAAGTGCAACAGTGGAGATATTGCCCAAGTAAAGAGAATCCGAGTGATGACGCCTCTCGTGGACTGAAACCATCTGAGATGACATCCGAGTGTCGGTGGTTGGTTGGTCCGTCATTTTTAAAAGGTCCTGAATCGAGCTGGCCACAGACAAATCTGCGGAAAGACATAGAAGAGGAAGATCCTGAAATTCTAATCCAATCCAATGTAGTGGTTGAAGTAAAAAGACCAGCTATATACGAACTATTAGAAAGATATTCATCATGGAACGTGCTCAAGGCAAAGATCGTGTGGCTAACCAGATTTGCGTTTCTCTTGAGTCATCGCCTTCATCGCTCTCACATATGTCCTCTCGGAAAACCCACCATTCCTGAGTTAGAAAATACAGAGAACGACATCATGAGAATGATCCAGCAGCAAGTGTTTTCAGAAGAATACAACGCCCTCAGCAAATCGGGGAAAGTAAAGATATCAAGCAACATCGCGAAGCTCAATCCTTTTATTGGTGAGAACAATATTATTCGAGTGGGAAGCAGATTAGAATACGCTCATATAAGTTACAATGCGAAGTTTCCACCAATCCTACCAAAGCAACATTGGGTATCAGAGCTGTTAGCAAGACACGTCCATTGTAGTAATGCCCATATTGGTCAAGAGCATACCTTGAATATATTACGCCAAAGAGTTTGGATCTGTAACGTTCGTTCTCTGGTTCGGAAGATTATCAAAGCTCCAGCAACAAATGGCACCTTTACCACCATGTCGGGTTATGGCGTACGAACCACCGTTCACTTACGTGGGAATTGACATGTTCGGACCTTTGTTAATAAGACAAGGTCGATCTACGCCTAAAAGATGGGGATGCATTTTTACGTGTATGACCACTCGTGCAATACACCTGGAAGTCGCACCGTCACTAGAAACTGACGATTTCATTAATGTTTTGCGACAATTTATCGCCCGACGTGGAACCGAACTTCCGTGGGGCTGATAAAGAGTTAAAAAGTGCAACGAAAGCTTGGAGTGAAGATCGTCTTGAAGATCAATTATCCCAGCGAGGAATTGACTGGATATTTCACCCACCGAATGCACCGCAATTCTCTGGTGTGTGGGAAAGGCTAATAAGGGAGACAAAACGTGCATTGAAAGCAATCTTAAAGGGGGCCTTGGTAACAGAACATGTACTGCGAACAGTTTTCTGTGAGGTAGAGTCGATACTTAATTCACGTCCTCTAACGAGATCAAGCGAGGATGCAGCTGATGCTACCGCCATTACGCCTGCCCATTTTTTGCTGCAGAGACCAGCAGTTGTTGTTCCCATTGGAGATTTTAACGAAGACTCGATTATTGGTAGAAGAAAGTGGAAGCAAGCTCAAATCCTTTCAAACCACTTCTGGACTAGATGGGTACGAGAATACCTGACTACTTTGCATTTACGTCAGAAATGGTTAAAGCCTCAACGCGATGTTCGTGTCGGAGATTTGGTCTTGGTACATGAAAAGAAGATACCAAGAGGATTGTGGCCTATTGCGATAGTAAGAAGAGTTTTTCCTGGACGAGACAATCGTATAAGAACTGTAGAGATTAAAACAAAGGATACTGTCTTAACCCGACCAATTGTGAACATTAGTCTCTTGGAACAGTGTGATAATTAAATGTTAATCATGTTCAAACGTGTGGTGCTAAACCATATAAACTTATATAGTTATAATCATGAATGAGTATACTGTGTCGTGTCTTTAGATATTGATGTAGAGATGAGTCGCTTGAGAACTCCTCATCGGCGGGGAGTGTAGACACGCGATAGATATGTATGTATGTAAATGTATTGTTATTATGTAAATGAAGTGTGTGTTTTCTATATAAGGCCGTGTACACGTTGTAAAAAGTTAGTTGTTTTGAAATATAATAAAGTGTGAGTAAAAACCCAAGATATGGCGATTACAAACAGTCTGTTCTTGTTCCATTTATAATCGAAAAAAGCGATCAATTTTCGAATTTTAAGCTTATCGAGAGCCTTATTTGTGATGAATCACTGATCTAATTATAGAATCCAACAGCAAACAGCCAATCAGAATGCCGCGTTGGTGGGCGAACGCGGAAAGTACAAAATACCGGGCCTTGCTTGCAGGCCCACTATCAGTTCCCTTGGGCCTGCAAGCGGGCTAGTTCGCGCATGGCAAACATAAATTACATCAATTAAACGGTTCTCTGCGTGATTTCTAAATTAGTTTCGAGCTTTTTACGCTTGACAGTCCAAAATAGTGCAAATTGCTGAGTGCAGGCAATAGGCATGCAACGATAATCCAGCAAGTTCAAACGCATATACAATTCAAAAAAAGTTGGAAAATGGAGAAAATCGTTTTAAAATGTTCTTTATATAGCCTAGTTCTTAATAAAGAGCGAAAAAATAAATACGGTATTTACCTTTAAAGGTGTCCGTATACTTGAAAAATATTTCTTAAATAACATATGTTTATTTCCCTATCTTTTGTATCGTTAAGGCCTAATTCCACGACGAGCGAAATGCGAAAAATTTCGCGCGAAAACACACTTGTGCGAAAATTTTCTCTCGTAGTGATTTCCACTGTAGAGAAAAAAATCGCCAAAACACAAGCATTTAATTGGTTTCGCTATTTTGTCATCCAAAACACAAGCATTTCATTGGTTCCGCTATTTCCATTTCGCAACGGAGTAGAAACGAATTCAACTACCCGGCGAAGAGAAATATTTCGCAGAGGAACATTCCAAAATCATGTTGCGCATGCGTCCAGCCTTTTCGCGCGAAATTTTTCACATTTCGCTCGTCGTGGAATTAGGCCTTTAGAGTGAGCTTTTCAAATTTTAGATAGATTTTTGACTGGTCCAAAATAAATTTTTTGACTAGTTTTGTAGCGAAATGCAAGAGATCCGTTCATAACGTCAGGGGGGGGGGTCAATAGGGGCCGTATACAAATCCGCCGATCCGCCCAAATTTGAAGCAAAATCCTCGATCCGACAATGGTCTTGTCTAAATTTGAACCCGCTAAAAGCTCTACTATGAAGTCACAATCCAGGATCCGAACTAAATTGCAAGCTAAATCCACAATCCGAGCCAAAACATTAGATAAATCCGCTGTATTAATAAGATCCGGAAATCCGCGTAAAATATTCACCAGATCCGAAATCCTAACAATTTTTTCTGTGAAATCCGATGATCCCAAAACCTATTCACCCCGTCAGAAATAAAGTTCGTCGAGAGAGCAAACGTGAAAGAAAGCGTTCAAAGCACGAGGTCCAGTCCAGGTTCATTTATATTAATAACCACGCATTGCGTTTTCAAAATTTTGCTAGCTGCATTAATTTTTTACTTCTGCCGTGCTTGCTGCGTGAAGTAGTAGACTAGTGCGTTTGGCAAATACAACCCAAACGTCAATGAAGAAGACAGTCAAGAGGTGATCAACAACAATATATATTTACTCTAAGGCCCCCTTTACACTATACCGGATTGCATCGGAGCGTAGCGATTTTCATACCGGATTCGGCTGCTGTTTACACTCCGCCACAGTAATCCGGGTACGCGACGCGGGGCAAAAATCACTCCGCTTTGGAGGTTATATGAAAAGTAATCCGCTATGTGCCGGAGCAGTATAAACAGGCTAATCCGGTACGCTTCGGTACAAAATTGGTTTTGGCGTGTATGTTTTAACATTGTCGCCTTTATTTGCTCGCTTTTACAATACTTTATATAGCTGTTGTTTGTTTCGCCTTGCAACCATTTACTATTTCTGCCGAATACAAGTAAAGAAAACGATAATAACATTCATGACTTTTCGCTTTCGAAAGAGCAAAATTTAAAGAAATACTCTGAAATTTTGGATTAGAGCGAAACGAAGCAACGTCTGGTGGTCAAGCTTTTTAAACAAAGTTATACTTTACAAAGAAAACGGGTGTTACTTCTTGTTTTTAATAAATTTTGGTATATTGGCTACTTGTTTCCATGGCGACAGTGAAAGACATGAGCTGGCAACAGAGCGAAGCGGCATAGTGTAAGCACCCTTGATTTTTTACTTCGGAATAAAAATTAATCCGGTATGAAAAGTAATCCGGTATAGTGTAAACGGGGCCTAAGAGAAGACTGTAGATTGTATTCCAGTTCATTGTGGTATGGGAAAAATGGTTATATTTTACAGTTTACAGTTTACGCAGCTAAAACGATCAGGTTGTTGCAATATTGATGAAAACAGGATTCAACAATGTTGTGCGGCCCACATTGTTCACAGTTGTCAACAATATTGAACAATACTGTTACACCCGATTCAGGCTCAACAATATTGTTCAATATTGTTGATAAGTGTGAACAATGTGAGCCGCCCAACATTGTTCAATCCTTTTTAAACAGCATGCTCATAATTTTTACGCGTGCACTTCTAAGTGATCGAAACGAGTGAGTTTGGAGCAAGAGACTTTTATCAGTAGATCGAATGTCATGCCCAATGTTGTGTTGAATGTCGGATTGGATGTGATGTTGAATGTCGTGCGTACTTCACAATGGTGCTTTGGCTAGTACTTTGTTGTCTGCCGTTGTCGGTTGAACTAAATATTGACTAATATATTATTTACTAATAATATATATATATATATATATATATATATATATATATATATATATATATATATATATATATATATATATATATATATATATATATATATATCTTTATTTATATCTTAAAATTAATTATTGCTACTCAAGTTTCACGCCTTATTCAAGACGATCTTCAGGCAATTAATTCAGTTTGTGTTTGAATCGTCAGCATCAACGGTCGGTCGCTGACGCCATAGATTATAGATCATACCAGATGTCTCACTGTGCATCTATCTCTATGATTTTCGTGTCCGCGATTTTCGCGAGGCTATCACGCCAGATGACGCGTGCGACACTTACTGCCAAAATGGCGCTTACTGCCAAAAGGCGTGATTGCTCACGTTTCATGGCGTGGATTACACTTACTGCCAAAATGGCGGCCAATTCGTGCTCATAAAAAATCGCGGACACAATTTTGGCTGAGTGAGACATCTGGTATAATCTATAATCTATGCTGACGCGTAGGCTTGTCTTGCGTCATTGGTTTGAATTTGCACGCGCTAAATTTTTCCTTATGACAGCACTTCGCATAAAACTCTGATCGCGTGTTCAGTGAATTGTTCCCTTTCGCTTTCAGGATGCATAACTTCTCTTCCAAACAGAGGCCACATCGTTTTCCACCAGGGGCCGGTTGTATCAAGCCCGTTTAGCTTAAACGGTGTATAAGTCAAAATTAAATAACACTCTTATATCTCTCGTGAATCAGTCAACTCAAATATTATGCACTAAATATGTAGTTGTAAACATTATCGTTCTATTAAGGCTTAAAATTTTTAGTTTGGTTGTTGAATGAATATATAGACTTGCTTTCTGTTTTGAGCTTAACCACCGTTTAAGCTAAACGGGCTTGATACAACCGGCCCCAGGCGTATACGCAGCAGCTCTTTTCAAGATGGACCACTTGATGCTATAATTTCTTCTACTTTGCTTCAGACTCCAAATATACTTGGAAAGCTTTGTATCAGACGAGTGGTTGTAGAGGTTGAATGACGTTTTGTGGTTCGCGTATCTTTCCTTGAATGGGTTGGCCGTCATTCCAATATATTCTTTTGTATTTCCGTTATCGGTTGTTGTCACTGTGGCTTTATAGACGATGTTGTCTACTTTGCACTTCCCGTCTAGTGGGCATTCATCTGGTTTGTTACAGTTGCATTGGACAGGTTTTTGGGTAGGGTTTCTCTTTAACAGGCGATGGTTATGTCGGGATATAATGGTTTTGACATTCTCCATGCAGGAGTAGCTAACTTTGACTGTGTTGCGGTTAAAGACCTTATGAAGCGGGTTAGTAGAAGGGAAATGTTTATCAATCAATTGTAGGAAATTTC